ATCACAACATGCATCCAAATCTCATCGTTCAACCTAGACGAGATGAAGACGTCGTTAAGGCTGTGATCTGGGCTAGAGATAACAAAATTGCTATCGCTATCAAGAGCGGCGGTCACCAGTACAGCGGCGCGTCGTCTACCGGTGGCAGCAACATTCAGATCGATCTTAGCAACACGTACAAGGACCTGATGGTTATAAATCCCCGCGGCCCCATTGACCAAGATAGAGCACTGGTGTACGTCGGCGTCAGCAATCAACTCAAGGACTTCAACGCATATCTCAAGCACAACCAATTGTTCGTTCCGCACGGAGATTGTGCTTACGTATGTATAGGTGGACATGGCCAAACTGGTGGTTATGGCCAACTCGGCCGTGGCTTTGGCCTTTTAGGCGATCACATCAGAATCATTCGCATGGTCTGCCATGACGGTGTGATTCGAGACATCTCTAAAGAGAACGATGCCGAGCTTTTCTACGCCATACTCGGAGGCAGTCCAGGTAATTTTGGCGTCATCTCACACTATACCGTCGAGGTGTTTCAGGCCAAGAGCTACATGGGGACTTTCACCGGCCCAAACGGATTCAAGGGGCCGCATGGCATCAAAGGACTCTGGATCTACTCCCCCAAAATCCTCAAAAACCTTCTTACCGCCGTCGCAGAAATGGCCGACAACGAAAATGTCCCGCGAGGCTTTGACCTCACTGTTAACGTCCTCAGCACCGAGTTTCCAATCGCGATGCTATTCCCCACTCTGAATAATGGTGGTCTTTGGGAACACATCCAAAACAAGATCAAGAACACGCTTGCAGATGAATTCCTCGAGTGGCTCAATGGTCGCTTCCCTGCCGTCATCGTGGTCTACGCCCAATGGTGCCCGACTAGCAAAGACGACAAGTATGACGAGAGTGTTGATCAATGGTTCAACAAGTTCCGGGCCCTCAAGGGTTTCTTCGAAAATGAGACTCTCGTCATCGACGAATTCGAAGAGGACATGTCCCAGATGACTGGAAGATGGATCATCCCCAAGCGGCGAGAGTTTGATCTACCTTACGTCAAGCGCACCCACTGTACCAACTCGAAGACTCTAGAAAAAGACGGCTGGGTCGACTCTCTGATTGATCGCATCGACTTGATCTATAACCCGCACCAGTTGCTCGACAACAACCCACGGGACAAGGAGTACGAGGTCTACACCCATTGCAAGCTTGTAATGCAGGCCCAATGCTTTGGAGGCGCCAATTCGCGTTTCTATTTAAACAAGGATAACGGCACATCCTACAGCTGGAGGGACACGTCGGTCGTCCTGACACTAGACTGTTTTCATGAAGTGGGTGACAAGTATAGGGAGTATGCCGAAAAGTGGCAGGCTAAAAATGACGCTATTATGGCTGGTCCCTCTAGCCCGTTTAGTAAGCAGGACAGACGTCTGCTCTGGGGCTCTTATGGTAACTGGGACTTGGGGGAGCAGGAGGTTTGGAAATGTTATTATGAGGATGAGGACAAGTACCATAGACTGGGTAGGGCAAGGGCTAAGGCTGATCCTAGCGGTGTTTTCACTGCAAACCCTTTTGCTGTTTCGGCTATTGTACAAGGACACTTGTAATTTAGATTAATCTGTTAAGTGGTATACAGTATAATACCCAGTCCACTATTCCATGGAGCACCATCAACCTACATAACCTGTAAGTGCGAATTGGGACGGTAGCCAGGGCGACGACCGTAACGAGCTTTCAAGAAACCAGAGTGACAGGCGACTGTGATGTCATTGACCGAGTAGGGAGTAAGTACCGAGTCGTGACCCAACTCTGCCCAATTCGCAATCACACGTCGACATAGACTCCTGCTCACCCGAGGACTCCCAGGGCCCCCGTTCTTGTCCATATCTCCAGCAGAAATAAACGCAGTAGGCAATACCTGCACGACTTCTGGATGCGCACCGGCAACAACACCTTCATCGAGACGCACTAAACCACCATGGTCAGCGTCCTCGCTTACGCCTCCACGCGTGCCCTGGACCTGGCGATGCAGCTGTACGGTGCGGCCCAGGGCAAGCTCGGCATCCCCCTCATCGGCGAGAGGTCGCAGCCCTTTGGGCCCTCGCAGACCGTCTCGATGATCCTTGCGTGGGAGCGCATGGCCGAGATCTCCGACTACATGAACGACACGCGCGCGGCCTCAGCCTACCGCACGCAGGCCCGCCTTTCGCGCGACGCGATCGACAGGCTGCTCTGGAACCACACGGCCCAGTACTACGCCGGCGCCCCGGGCTTCGACGGCATCGACATTGCCGACGCGGGCAACATCCTGCTCGGCCAGATCGGCAACCCCGAGCGCCGCACCAAGACGGTCGCCAGCGTCGAGCAGCTGCGCATTCCCTCGGGCTACCTCAACGGCACCCGCTTCAAGGACACGGTCGCCGTGGCCAACCCGTACATGCTCAGCGTCATCCTCGAGGGCTTCGCCATCGAGAACCAGACCGCCCTTGCGCAGGACTTGCTCGACCATACCTGGAGCCCTATGGTACGACGAGGTGTCAACTACACGGGCGCCTACTGGGAATACGTGGTAAGTTTACCCTAGTAACTCTGTGGGACTCCATTTCCCTTGTCTACATTCTTTGGTCCTGTCTCTCCTCTCGATTCTCCTTCCACGAAAACTCCTCTCCTTTTTATTAGGCTACGACCACTGACATACACATCTTGCTACAAATCCTAGATACAGACGGTAGCGCTCTAGGTCTCGGCCTCTTCGACGCCGGCAGCCACTTCTGGGGCTCGTACCCGACTGCGTTCCTCACTGACTACGTCCTCGGCGTTAAGCCGACCACGCCTGGCTATAAGACCTTCCGGCCGATGAAGGACTTCGAGTCCGAGTGGGTTTACGGCCGCGTGCCGACCCCGGCCGGTAACACCCTCGTAGCCTGGGGCTACGAGTCCGGCGGCAATAGTAGTGCCAAGTGCGCGCTCGAGCTGACGCCGCCCGCCGAGCTCGAGGGCACGATTATCGTGCCGTTTGAGGGCGACTTTTCTGTCAATAGCGGGGCCGCACAGAACGGCCAGGTCACTGTCAAGGGCGGCGAGACTGTCAAGGGCGGCGAGACTGTCAAGATCTGTCAATTGTGATTGGCGTGAGAGCACGTCGCGCAAGACAGCGGACATGCGATAAAAGGAGCGAGAATCCACGGATAGGACAGGGTCCTTCTTTGGACCATAAAAGTAGTCGATTGATCTAGACCCGGGGTGTCTACATGCCACGATTTCAACAAGACCACATGGCTCAGGCTTGGCTAATTATACCACCCGAGTTATATGTATAATTATCTCATTGCTGCAGCTAAAATTAACATCTCGAAACGCTTCAGTCCGCTTGCCAGCAACATGATAAGTGAGGACACAGAATTCAAACGTATCCAGTAGGCGCTCATTCTTCTGCGTAGCCGTGCCAAGTTGAGACGACGGCGGCGTGAGGAAATGAGCCAGGATACCCCCAAATGGACGTCCATCAGCTCGAGTCTAGATCCAGCGTCCAGCTCACCGGTCTGCACTGATATTCAGTTTGTAGCATTCACCATGATCAGCATCGCCGAACCGATAACGAGATCAATACGAAGATGCAGCAACAAAGAAGGAGAAGAGAGAGGCCCCCTTGCAAGTAGGCTTTTATATCTTCGGGGTGGCTAGCTCAACACAACATCACCTGGTTTCCATGGTACATCAGATTAACAACTGTTCCAAGCTATTATCGAGCCGTGCCATGTGAGGGTGAGAGCACACTGGCCCTTATCTTTCTGGCGGCACTTATCTTTCTGGCGGCCCCTGACTGCACGCCTTCAGCTCACCAGAGGCTGCCGAGAGACGCCCGGAGCAGCACCGCCCGATGCATTCATGGGTATCACTTCTGAAATAGTACAATGTGAAGACTCGAACTCGTCTTTTCATAAAAGATCGGCACATGATATTTGGAAGGCGAGTAAACACATGAGATGCTTGTATCACTCCTTGAGCACAGCAGGGATAACCTGCTTCGCAATCTCCTCTGCAAACTTCTTCTTCCGAGCCTCCCAGCCGAGCTTGCGTAGGCGGCTTGCGCGGTTGCGCGCGTTGGTGCCCGCCACGGCGAGCGTGAAGTCGCCAAACAAGTCCGCGTACTGGGCCTCGGGGATCGTCCGGGGCTCCGCGGACTCGAGCTTTCCCTGCTTATGCAGCTCCTTGCCAATGACGGCCGCGATGTCGCGCCACGACGCCTCCTCGCCGCTCTCGCAGAAAAAATACAGGTTCCCCGCGAGGTCGGCGTCGGCAGCGGATCCGCGGTCTGCGGCGCTCTCGGCGTAGTGCAGCAACGTCATGTATCCCCGCGCGAGGTCGCTGACGTGCACGTACGGCCACTTCGCGAGCCCCTTGCCGACGTACCCCGCGTAGCCGTGCTTGAGTGCGAAGCGGACCAGCGTGGGCGCCTGGATAGACAAACGGCCGCCGCCGTGCTGGCCGATGCCGTCGATGATGGGCGGCATCATGATGACGAGCCGGTTGCCCTGCGCGCCGAGTTCCTTACGGGTGCGCAGAATAGCGAGGTCGATCTCACGATGCGGCGCCGAGTCCGGTAGGGCGTCGAGGTCGGCGGGCGTTGCGTCGTCTACGATCTTGTCGACGGCGTAGTCGCCCGCACTCTCGTCAAAGAGAAGGCTAGCGCCGCTGGTGTGGATGTAGATTGGCCGCGAGGACACCCTCGGCGGAGCGTCGGCGGGTATAGTGCGCCTTTGAAGGAACCCGATGCCGTCAAGCGCCTACTCCATGACCGAGTCCGTGGACTTGCGAGGGATAGGTATGGTTGGCCAGCGCATGATGCGTTCCTGGAGTACCTGTTTCCTCCCGAATTGGATAAGAACGACGCGGGCCATCCCGATCCCTATCTGGACACGGCCTGGCTTACATTACTACTCTGCCTGACACCTCATGTTAAGACGTTACACTTATGTGTATATCCGCTGAAGGAGCCCGACATGCTTGCGCGACTGTTTCAGTTCTGCGGAGACCGTCACTTCATTGAACGCGAAGGGGAATCAGGCGGAGATGTGATGTCGAGAACGCCAGCGCCGCTGTCAGAGCTGCGGTCTCTGCACTTGCACGGAAAGGGCCCTGACTACCGTAGTGTCCGGTTTCACTCAAAGAACATCCGCCCGCTACTGCTCTCTACCGAGCTTCAGACATTGAAGCTTATCGGAATAGACTGGGGTGGCACGAGCGTAGACACACGCTCAGAGGCCGAGGAGGAAAATCGAAGGGACGACAGGGACGACGATGGGCATAACGACTTTCAGCTTAACCAAGTAGTTCCTGGTAGGCCACCCAGAAAGCTATATACCTTCCCAGGTTCTCATCCAAAGATGAAGAGTCTCAGTCTCTGCAATAACCAGTCTCCTCACCCTTATGGCGTGCAGAATATGCTGTTGGCTTATCCTAATTTCCACACTCTCGTCCTGAAGCCAAGTGTGCGCTTGGAGCGCGGATCATTTGATTTCAGCGCGTACGGCACTGTACTCCACGACCACGCCAGGCGCCTGCGGCGTTTCGAGTTCGAGCCGGATAACGTCTCCGATGCCGATTTCGAAGGGTACGACAAAGGCGCGATCGGGTCTTTGAGGGACAAGTGGACTCGTCTAGAGCAGCTGCGTATGTCCCTTGCTGCACTGCTCGGCCCGGATCTAACCGAGCGGCTGGACCTGTGTGATTACTTGCCGATCAGCCTGCGCTGGTTCTGGACCACTGTGCCGGACTTCAAAAGCTACGCGCAGGTGTATTCCAACGCGCTGGCAAGCATGCTTGACGACGGATCGGAAGGTAATAGCTGTCGTAGGCTACCACGGTTGGAATGGGTCCTGGTCATGCTGCCTAAAGGAGATGATAAGTTTGGCTTTGAGCCCAGAGAATCCAGCGTGTTGCGACTCGGCGAACGCCATGTTCTGTACAGGAGAAAGTCCGCCTGTGCCGTACATACGCCGCCGGGGTGGGAGGATGCCTATGTCGAGAAAGTCGTGACGCTGCCTTAGAGGCCACATTTCGGAAACACAAGGGCATAGCCATTTTCTGCTACCTCACTTATGAGTACAAGGTCGACTATCCAAAGGGGAAATGGACTTAGTAGGAGTGGGAATGCGACGACCTGGGCACTGAGGATGATGCTAGCGACTTCGCTTCGGAGGCTAGGTCGTTCGAAGACCGCAGCAATACGACCACGCCGCTCTTACAAAAAAACGATCCGTTCCTGGATCTGCGAGTACGATCGAGTCCTTCATGTTCGTCTGAGAGCGAACTCGGAGATCAACATGGAGACTGTTACCCCGATCCTCAGCACGTCAAGAAGGAACAAGACGACTTAGGCAATGAGGACGATGTCACCGACTTCGTCCAGTTGGGGGAAGGCAGGTGCTGACCGCTCAACGCCTCGCCTCCTTCCATCAAATAGTTCAAGCAGTGGTTGGCGCACTTGACAGCGCCTCGGTCCCAGACGACTTCATGGGCTGGCCGGAGTGCGGCCCTTCTTTTTCTCAGTCATTCTGCTACACTTTCAGACGTTCCTCAACCCTTCCGCCTCTCTAATTAGGACACAATATAAAGCTTGCTCATATGTTAGCGTGACAGCCCCCGCACGGTCTTGCTCAAACTCTCGCAACTATGAAGTGATGGCCATGCTACCCTGCATTGCTCATGATCCCATACATGTTCATGACGGAAACAACGGTTTATGTTCTGGCCAGAGTCTCTCGGATCCGAGTCCGTCCGGAGCAGGGTCGGTGATGCGGAGCCATGACGCTATGGGGTTTACGCTTTCGGCGGGCTCATGGGAGCTAATTGGCATACACAAAGACTGGCCATGTCCACACCCAACAACGATGAGAACTATCATGAGAGACAATAATGATTGGAGTCAGCTTTACATACTAGCCCTTAGACACTGCCTTAACACCCGTCTAAATTCAGTCAGGCAAAGTTAGTGAACCCCAAAGGTCATATGCCCGACGCTGGAATGCGATATTCAACTCCCTTGCAAAGCCCTCTGCCTTAATACACTGATCATAAGCCTCATTCACGCCTGACTGAGGGCCACAGATGCTGGCGCAAAGTCTTAATAAGGATTTTGCGTGCTGTAGTTGCTGTACGAATGTGTGTATGGTCATCATGTGCTTCTTCGTCGCTACTTCTGTCTCAATGAAACAACTTCTCAGCGTGGTAGACGTTTGGGCCAACCACTCTCGTGGATCATCCTCAAAGGGCGTCGAGCCTGGGTCGCTTAGCGATTGCAGGATGCGTGTTTTAATATCTCGGTCAGCAGAGGTTGTCACTGAACGATAAGCTCTGTAGTTGATAGCGTGACAGAAGCTTTCGTGGCCTTTGGTCTCCTGTTGGATGGTAGAGTTGGGGAACGCTTGCAAGGTACTGATTTCATCATCCGTCGACATCTCGTGGCGGGACGATGGTCCTTCTTGGGTGGGGGTGACCATAGGCGACGTCGGGCTGTCATCCGAGGTCGCCCGGAAGTCGAAACCATGGAAGAACGCTTGTGAAGCCCGAGTGAGACTATCCGGCGGCGCCTGAACTTGTGATAGCTCCTGCTGGGTGGGAGTATTGCTCGATATTTGGCGAGCCATTCTTGCCGGTCTTGGATCGGAGCAAGTGTATGCTCCGCTTAACTCAACCAACTACAAAATTATGAAGGGTTAGTCCCGTTCTCGCAACTCAACAGTGGAGATCATACCTCGGGATGATCTTTTTCCTCATGTTTTCTCAGCAACTCGAATGTCTTGAAACGTTTCCCACAGCTGTAGTTGCAAAGATGAGCGGACCCTGGGCGGTGATCCTGTGTCTTATGCCAATTGAGCGATGAACGTGTTTTGTAACTCCGAGCGCAACTAGGCCAATCGCACGAGTGACGAAGCTGTTGCTTCAAGTGAGCCTGGTGATGTCGATCTTGTTCTTCTTTGTCCCTGATAAAGTTGTTGATGAAGCATCGAAAAGCGCATCGGAGCCCTGAAGGCTTGGGGGGGACAGAACGGTTTCGGGCCGCGGCGTGCCGGCTCTGCTTCTTCCGCATTGCAGGTTGTGGCTTCCTTGTTCTTTTCCGGGTGCTGCGTGGGACAGCACACTGTTAACCCTATTGTCGAGTGTTAGCCATCTTTCCGTGTAGTAGAGAACCCGTTATGTGGCAATCCCATTCTCACCATGTTCTTTCGGGAGTGACAGCAATTGCAAGCCAACAGCCTTGTCTTTGCAAAAATTTTGAGGAGGGATAAGCAAGCTAGAACCATCGTTGCCTCATCCCCGATCATTTATATCCGGCTCAACAAGCTGAGTAGCACATGATACAAGGGCTGTAAGTAGTAATCTGCCCTTAAGAACCAACACCTGGGCGCTCGCGCCTATTGCGCTTACCCTACCGTGAGCTGAGAGATATATGATTGTGTCCATGCTTGTGCCAGGAGAAGCGCCGGTGGCGTGGTGGAATCGGTTGCAATTTCAGTGCCCTGGCGCGGTGCGGCAGGCATGGCGGGTAAATCCGCTCACAACGTTCATCCATGTCCACATAAGACAACGACATATTGAGAAAGTCGAGCGACAAGCCCCCGGCCATTGCGCGGAGCCGATCTTCTCGGCGATTTCCAGGCGCCATGCTGGGGCCCTTTGGTTTCCAGGGTACCTTCTTCCCACGGGCTTGCTCCCCTGCAGCTGAACATGGCATGCCGCGGCTAGGCTGCTTCGCGCTTCACGTGCTGATACAGTTTACGGACTGCCCCGGCCCGATTCGACCATCTGATAGTACTGTACAATGAGGGAGCCCTCGACCCTCAGGCGTATGACATCTGTGGACTCCAATGCCAAGCTGAGCGGCCATGATGGAGTGGGGAGCCTCGTCTTCACCCGAGCAACCAAGTTCGGCCTAGCTTGAACGGACAACTGCTACATGCACTGTGCGGCTTGCGAGATATTGCGGAAGCGGCGACCGGCAAGGGCTGGCACGGCATGGCGCGGGAGCAGCTCCGCTTCGCGAGTCTGTTCAGATGTACACGTCGAGGAGTGTCTTGCTATTAAAGGACAGCTTCCGGCTTCTCATGCACAGCAGTATGGGTCAAGGCCAGTCAACTTCATCGCCTGCACTATGGATCTTCTTCGTCTGGCTTCCTCACTTACAGTGTTAGTGATGGTCACTGCAGTAACGGCTCACAGATGCTGGGCCTCCTATCAACAACACAAGGGGTGGACACAGGAGCTGGGGGGAAATCACACGCAACGGATATTTTCCGATCTGCTCTGGGATCTATGCGGGTTCTGTGGTAGTACTCTGCTGCTTCGATTTCTCCTCGGTGTTATCGCATCATCATATGCAGTAGTGCCACAGGACAACAACGCGTCATCTGATCGCAGGCTCCTATCAACTTATCTCGCATCCATCGGATCGATGCTCAGCCTCGTACGTAGAGCTACATCCTCGACAAAGCCGGGTTTCGCTAACCCAAACGGACAAGGCTCCGTGGCAGAACAACCTCTTCAGGGAGAGAACTCTGCCATTCATCGCGAAATTTGGACGATCATCTGAGCTATGGTCGTACAGAGCAATCATTTACGGGCCCGGCTTCATTATCGCGCTCCTCCAAGTGTCTACAGACGAGCAAGTGCCGTTGCTAGCTTGTGGTGTTATGGTCTCACGGACTCTGGCAGTATTGTACTTACTTTACTGCACCTTGCTCCATTTTCTCAAACCGACACGCGACGGGCACCAACTCATCACGGTCCGAGGCGTGTTCATACTCGCCACAATACCAAATATCATCGTAGCCATACTCATTATCTATGGCGTAGTAAACACAGAGGTAAGAATCCCATTTCCGCCTTACACGGTTGCGGTGGATCTGACAAGCTAGTCTCTGCCAATCGCCAATTCTTCGCCAGAGCCACTGGTCAGTGTCTGGTTGCTCTGGGTCCATGTACGGAAGCAGCGTGAAACTGGCGACACAGAGCAGGCTGGCGCAACACGACACCTAAGTAGCGCTGCAGGCCTCATCCCATCCACCACCTGACAACCTTTTTCCAACTGGCTTCCTGGACCACGTCCGCCATTCCATGTAATTACTCGGTCTTCTCAGTGGATGCTAATGGGGTTGCTGTGCTCCTCCGCCGTTTTGCTCGAGTGAGTCCCACTGGCTGTGGAAGACCCGTCCGCGGGTTTCGGGATACCGAAGCTCTCTTCGCCGGGAGCCATGATGCTAGCTACCCTTTCTTAGTAACTATTACCACCATTGTTGTTGGGGGTCCTACCACTTCTCTCTGCAGCCTTGATACTCTTGGGAATGTGTAATTTATCCGTTTCGCTCTGAATTGTTTCTCAACAAGCATGACCGACCACCAGACTCGCTGTCACTCTCTTATACTTCCGCGACTCGTTCACAGCCTGATCATAATTGCTATGCATTTTTTACCTCTCCCTTCTGCAGCAGCATGCACCTTTGCGTGGTGGGTTGCTTGATGGGCCGCGTGGGTAGTTGTCTCCCAGGGTTGACACCCCGTTGCGCAGTGTGCATTCATTGAGTGTTGGAGCCATGCAAAGAATGTACTCAGCGCCACGACATGCGTGTCCCATCCTTGAGGCCCGGGATGGCGTCGCCGTCGTCTATCTGCTGTGGTCCAACGCAGTGTTCCTCTTAGCACCGGTCTGCTTGCTGCAGAGTACATGCGGCTGGCATGACCCGGTCACTACCATGAAGTTGATTTTGGTACACAGTTGCTACCACGACCCCACGTCAGCATCTCAGGGCACCCAGACCGTGACCACCTCCCGCGACCCCTCCTCCCTCCTCACCGCCAACAACACCTACACCGACTGGATCGTTAACACCCGCGCCACCAAGCACATCCTCGGGCGCCCTTACCAGGTCATCATTTTCGACGGGCCTTTCAATCCGGATCGCGAGTGTTGCTCTTCTTCCTTCTATTCCTTCACCACGGTCTCCCCCCTTGCTCAAGCACACCGTGGACCCTCCTCCCCTTTCTTATTGTATCTCACCTCCGGACACATTTTTATTTCCCCAAAATGGGAATTACCCAGTTCACTAAAATCCACCACAGGACTTCATGCAAGGCGAAATCCCCTCCCTCGAACCAGAGCACATAGTCCCCCACCTAAAAGACCACCTGCACTGGCGTGTGCTGGTGGAAGGGGGTGTGGATGTGCCGTGGGAGGAGGTGCCGGGGTTGGTGGTGTGCGTTTCGGTGGCGGAGGTGAGTTTTGACGATGGGATTCGGAGCTATTCGACGGAGCATACGGTGTATCCGGAGAGTACGGATGGGAGGCCGGCGGGGTTGAATGTTGGGGAGGAGGCTTAGGGGGTGGGGAGTTGAGCTATGGTGTTGAATGAAGAGGCTGACATTTGGCTTACACTAGAGATAGAACCTAGCTAGAGTGCTGCACTGCAGACTGTTGAAATGACATGGGAAATACCGACTTGAATCTGTTCCACTTAATGTCTTTACCACCTTTGAAGGCTTGAACCTCACTCAGTTATCTTAAACGGCTGCGGATCCGTCGGCACCAGCGTCGCCACGCTAACATGCGGCCACGTCAATATTGCGCCCGGCCCAAAATTCAGATTCACGGTCTGCGAATACTGGATCTGGATGCCCGGCACCCTGATTGTCTTCCTCTCCGTGACACCACCCGGTGGCGCCGTGATCGCAAACTTCGGCGTAGGCGCCCTCGCTCCGGGAGGAAACGACGCCAACAGGACCTGCGTCTCACCTTCTTCCATCTTGTCGACAACGACGTCATACTCGATCCGCTCGATGTAGAACGTGGAGGTCATGAACTCGGTGTGAGCGTTCGGGTCGTCACCCTCGCCGGGCGAAGGGATCATGACACCCTTGACTTGGCGCGTAGTGTTTGCGGATATGACCGGGGGTTGTACGAACGGAGTTTGCGGGCCGGCGAGGAAGGCGATGTTGGCAGTCCCGCCGGCGTTGAGTTCAGAGTTTGAGTTGCCTGTGGTGACCTTGAAGGTGATTGTTTCCTTGATGTCGAGGTTGCTGGTGTCGATGGCATTTTGGAGAACGAGATTGGGGTTCTGGATGATCTCCGTGGTGATTCTGCCAGTGCCTTGGGCGTTGAACTTCTCGAGGTTCGCCGGAACCCGTCGCGTAAGGTTCTCTCTCTCGGCGTTCATCTCCACTTTAAAGAACTTTTGTTTGTCCTCAGGCCTCCCGATAATGAATGGCGTGGTGTCAAGCTTGTCGAACTGGGGAAATTTGGGCTCTCCACCGATCACGGTGGAGGTGTTCCTCTCGGGAACGAATCCTTGCGCGTTGATTGTCGTACCGTGAGGAATGGAGGCCATGCGGCAAATGGTGTCGCAGCCCCCCTGGAAGTCGGCCGCCGGAACGTGAAGCCATATGCCGGGCTCGAAGTGAATGCCGGAACCCTTGCTGGACCTTGGCTTATCGCCCTTTCCAGTCTCCACATTGGTCGTATCCTGGACGGTTTGGAGATAGGCAAGCCCGCCGAGGAAGATGTCCTCCTGGTTACGGAACCCACGGTTCGGGATCTTGCCAAGGGTCGGGCCAAAGGTCAGTTGCTCGGTGGTGAGACTGAGGAGCAGCCTATTGTCGTTGGGTCCGTCTCCACAAGAGTTGCCGAGTGTCTGGAAGGTGCTCGGGACCCAAATCAAGTTGAACCCATTGCCGGCGTAGGAACCCTTGAACTGCTCAAGCGGGAAAGGGAGAATCTTCTCAGGCTCCGATCCCGGTCCGCCTGGGACATGGAGCTGTTCGTCCACCTGAGCTTCGTCCGATGCCGGCGGCTGGTCGTCCGTCAAGGGTACCTCCTCGCCATCGCGAGACAAGCGCCTGGAAAGCTTGGATATTGGGGCCTTCTTGGGCCCGCCGCCGATCGGGCACCATTGGAATCCGGCAAGATCGAGGGCAGGGGCCGGGTGTGTGATGTTCAATGGAGCAATGATATGCCCGTCGAGGGTGATCTCGCTGGCCATGATGTATGCAAGGGTTGGAGATGCGCGTCAAGGAAGTGGCTGAGTGCAGGAAAGATGTGCGAAACGATCTGGTGAGAAGTGTTTGGTTGAATTACTGAGGTCCGCGAGTCGGCGAGCAAGGGCGCGGGAGCAACAGAGCTTTATAGACTAGATGAGACCATCTCCTCTGTCAGCCTATCTTGGATCTGAACCACCGTGTCCGGACGCATGGATGCTCGTTCGCGGCCGCCATCTTTGAGTGCGTGTCTTGATCGTACCGGTCGAAGCTCGTTCTGTGACTCGCACAAGCGCCGGGCGCAGACTTGTGTGTTGCTTCTTTGGATGAAGGGGGGAGCTTCTTTGGATGAAGGGGGGATCGCGTCCGTGTGGCTGCTTACCATGTTGGTGCTGTGGGATGCAGTGTTGGTTGGATGCTAAAGATGACTCGGAGAGGACCCTGTAGGAGATGATGGTGTTTGAAGTTCTCTGTGCTACACACCAGGCGAGGAAGGAGCGTGGTTGGTAGAAGTAGA